ATGTATTAATTACCAAAACTGAATCAAGAAGATACAGCAACTCTCAATAACCCAAGCACAGCCAATGAAATACTAAATGTAATAAAAACCTCACTGACAAAGAAAGGCCTGGGCCCTAATGTATTCACAGCTGAATTCTACAAGAAATGTACGAAAAATATAATCCCTATACTCCTAAAGTGCTTCAGTGAAATTGAGAAGGAAGCAGTCCTCCCAAAAATCATTCCTGGAGGCAAGTATTAAACTGATATCCAAACCAGGGAAAGACACAACTAAAAAAGAGAACTACAGGCCAATCTCCCTCATGAATATAGATGCAAAAATCCTCAATAAAGCCCTAGCAAATAGAATACAGCAAATCACCTAGAAGACTATGCAGCATGACCAGGTAAGGTTCATACCAGGGATGCAAGGATGGTTCGATATACGCAAATCTAAAAATGTAATACACTCTACCAATAGAACCAAATCTAAAAACCACATGATCATCTCAATTGATGCAGACAAGGCTCTTGACAAAGTCCAACACTCATTCATGTACAAAGTCCTACATAACCCTGAAGTAGATGGCCTCAACTTAAATTGTATTAAAGTCATGTATGACTACCCAGTGGCTAACATAATTCTAAATGGGGAAATACTGAAATCTTTCATTCTCACATCTGGTACAAGACAAGGATGTCTATATCACCACTCCTATTCAATATAGTTCTGGAATCATTAGCTAGGGGCATTAGACAAGAGAAAGAAATAAAAAGAATAAGAATAGGTCAGGAAGTTAAATTATCATTATTTGCAGCTGACATGATACTTTAGTTGGAAGACCCAAAAAACTACACCAAGAAGCTACTAGAATTGATACACAAATTCAGTAGCATAGCAGGATTCAAAGTCAATACCCAAAAGTAAATAACATTTCTCTACACAGATAACAAACACACTGAGAGGGAAATTAGAAAAACAAAACCTTTTACAATAGCATGATGGAAAATGATATGTCTTGGAATTAATCTTACTAGGGAACTAAAAGATGTTTTCCAAGAATATTACAATAATCTGAAAAAAGTGATCATAGAGGATTTCAGAAAATGGAAAGATATTCCCTGCTCCTGGACAGGAAAAACTAACACTGTGAAGATGGCCATATTCCCAAAATTGCTGTACAGATTTACTGCAATCCCTATCAAACTACAACTAACATACCTCACAGACCTAGAGAAATAATTCCTAAACTTTATTTAGAACCAGAAAAGATCTAGAATAGCAAAGGCTATCCTGGGCAATAAAGACAAGACAGGGGGTATTACAATTCCTGATTTGAAATTATACTACAAAGGTACTGTGATAAAATCAATTTGGTACCAGCAACAAAATAGACCTGAGGATGAATGGAGTAGATTAGAAGACACAGACACCTCTAAGAACACACTCAGTCACATTATCTTTGACAAAGGGGCCAAACATGCTTTCTGAAAGAAAGATAAGTATTTTTAACAAATGGTGCTGGAAAAACTGGCTCTCTACATGCTGAAAACTAAAAATTGACCCAGGTCTATCCCCATGCACTAATCTAAAGTTAAAATGGATCAAAGACCTAAACATTAAAAGAAAAACACTAAATCTCCTGGAAGAGAAAGTAGGAGGAACTCTTGAAGACATAGGGGTAGGCAAAGAGTGCCTGAACAAAATTCAAATTGCATGTGTAATACTTGAAAGAATTAAAAACTGAGACCTTTTCTTATTGAGAAGTTTCTGAACATCAAAAGAAATTAGCAACAAAGTGAAAAGACAACCCATAAATTTGGAAATAATCTTGGCTAATAAGCACTCAAACAATGGTCTGCTCTTTAGAATTTATAATGAACTAAAAAACATTAGGGTCGCACAATTTAAGGACTCTGTCCAGAAATGAGCATCTGAGATAAATACACACTTCTCAGAGGAAATTAAAGAAGCCAATAAATATATAAAAAAATGATCCACATCACTAGCCAGCCTTGAAATGCAAATTGAAACAACACTGAGATACAATCTCACCCCAGAAAAAAATGGCTATCATTAAGAAATAAACCAACTACAAATACTGGAGAGGTTATAGGGAAAGAAAAACCCTTCTCCATTGCTGGTAGGAATGTAGACTGCTGCAACCATCATAGAAATCAGTGTGGAGACTTCTTAGAAAACTAGGACTGGAAATCCTATTTAAACCAGCTATTCCTCTGCTGGGAATTTTCCTGGAGGATCTGAAAACGTCATTTCTTGGTGATATATGTGTGCTTATGTTTATAGCAGCACAATTTGTGATAGCCAAATCTTGGACACAACTAAGATGCCTGTCACCTGAGGAATAGGTTAAAAAATGTGGTATTTTTATACAATGAAGTATTACTCAGTTATAAAGAATGATAAACTCAAACCTTTTATATGTAAGTGGATGCCACTTGAAGATATAAGTAAAATAAACCAAATCCACATGTGTACATATTGTATAGTCTCCCTACTATAAGAACTCAAATGAAGAAATAAAATAGAAATGTATAACATAATCAAAAGGAAAGTGAGAACTTGAAGATTAGACAACGAAGATAGGGCAAGGAGAAAAGCTAGGAAACATGATAGTGGCAAAAACATACATTTATATGCACAAGATGGATAAGGCAATGATCCTGAGACTGACCATGTTTTTGAAACTAGCAGTTAATTGGTAGGATTCACACTCTGAATAACTATACATGCTGGTGAACTAAGCAACTGCACTGAAGATAGCAATGTGCAATGGTAGGATCATACTTGGAATGCCTGCCATTCTGGTCTTCTAAATACGTACTGCTTGCCAAGATGTACCAATTACTGCCATACTGTCTCTCAAGTAAATGTTTGGTTTTTTTTTTTAAAAAAAAAAAAGGGTAATAAATGAAAACAAGTGACAAAAAAAAAATCTCGGGACTGCCCTGCTACAAGGCTCATGGTTAGATTTCTAAATTTCTGTGTAAAAATATATAACTGTTTATTCCTATTTTTTATTTTTTCCATTTTTTTCTTCATATTCTGTAGGGATCTAGGCTTTAACATATCTATAGTTGATGGAAAATATTAGTTCCATATTATGCCTAAGATGTTCGATATTTGGACAGATAGTGAGGATAATCTCAACTGCCTATGTTGTAGGGTAATAATAATAAACTTCTCTTCTGGAGGGTTAACAACCTAACTGTGAAGACCAAAAATTAGAGAAAAAGAATGGCTGCAAGGACAGCCAAAATTTTGGCCCTAGCCTTTCAAGGTCATTGAAGACTCAGGACATAGGAGAACCTGTACTATAATATCATGTAACTTAGTTATGTCCCAAATTTTCCAATCAAGGAGGTTATGGGCCCAAAGAGGAAAGTGGTCAATGATGTAGAGTTTGCCTAAGGAGAGTAACATGGAGAGAAATCCTTCTCTCAGGCTTTCACACAGAGCAAATTGGTCAAGCAATGGCCATGACTCATCCACATGGCTAACACTGACAAAGGATCTACCAACTGTGGTACAGGATTTCAGGTTAAATCCTGAGGGGATTTGACAGACCTTATCAGGTACAAAAGTTACATTTCTTTTTATATAGGTCTTGCTTTATCTTGGTCTTAATGATCTAGCAAGAAAGTAGAAAAATAAAGCATAAAAAATAAATCCATATTAATATACTGAGCTGTAAAAAGCTCAAGTCAACAACTTCTGACATTGTCAGTCTTATGGAAAACCCACTACGATTATGGACTACTGGACTATATTGGAATATTTTCTGAATTCACACACCTACAATATTTAACTGTCAATGGAATACCCTTCTCTGACAAAACTAAACAAAAAAGGGAGATACAAATGAAGGACCATTTTGTATCTGTATATTAAAAATAGGATAGATATACAGCTGCTTTCTTAATTCAATGAATAGAGAGACTTGTTCTAATAGTGTTTGTAGACAGGATATCATGTCTGTATCTTGTACAATGAATAACCATTAAGACAACAATATGCAGTGTATTAATTACTGAAACTGTGTTACTAATCAGTTTTAAACTGTTTCATTGCTCTTTGCTTCTCAATAAAATTACTTTTAAAAAAGATTATTATGAATTAAATCAATAAAAGTTTTCACCAAGAATAGACAACAATAGCCTCCTGGAAAAAAAGCATAAGGGGAAAGTCCAGGGAATTTGAGAATATGGTATGGCATTAACCTGTCATTTAATATCTTGCACAGCTCTCCAGGTATTAACAGAAGGATCAGGAAAGCATAAACAACATTCAGTTTTTACAGTCACTCATTACCCCCTTGTGCTGCTGTTAGAATGCATAATGCCTTCAAATTTTGGAGGATTGCTTGGCTCACTAATTTTACTTCTTTATTCAGGAGAGAAAAATCAGTCACAGGGTCATTTAAGGCCCGCTGAGTATAGTTAGTCAAGGCCCTGATGTCATCCTCTGGCCCTAAGAAGAGATAAAGATAAAAGGCAAATGTTCATAACAGTGAAACATACTTTTACACAACCAGTGCCCTATATGGGGTAAATTTGCAGGTTTGTCAACACTTTTGACACTCCTGTCTGATAACCATACAAGTCAGTATGTACCTCCCTATATTTCCAAGTGGTATACGGGGCCACATCTTAATCCCACGGGACCAATGAATACCCATGGGGCTTCCCAAATGATTCTGGGGTGATTAGATCAGTCAGTTTAATCACAGATTGATTCTTTGAGGCACTCAGTAGATGACAGGTGTTCTTGACTTGGAAAGGTGTATAGCTTCAGGGGTGTCCATCTCACATACTTAGCAGAGTTAGGCCAATGAGAACAATAATGATTTTGTTGTTGTTGTTATTGCTGCTGCTGCTGTTCCTAACATAAGGGGGACTTTCTACCAAATTGTCCCGTAGTTGGAGTTAACCCCATATAATCATTAGTATCAATAATGACTTTTTATCCTTCACTGAATTGTAGAGCTTTTGTCATAGATAAAAGTCAGAGCTATAGCTGAGCACTAGTCCCATGGACAAGAGAGAAACTTTCAAGTGTTTGATGCATACCTGCCTTTCTTGTTCCATTTTCCATGAAGGAACTGCCATCACAGAAGAGTCAAGTCAGGGTCAGTAAAAGGTGGTTTAACAAGTCTTCTCTGGTTGCATGCCTATAGAGAATTACCCTTTCATCATCATATCCATCAGCCTCAATTTTCTCTTTTTCTAATAAAATGGTAACAATATTGAAGCAAAAACATGTCTTTATTTGAATGGTTGGTCCTCTAGAAGTAGAACCTGATATTCAGAAGTCAGTTGACCATTAGCCATCAGATGCCTTTGGAAGAACTGAGTCCTGCCACATTGTGAGGGAAATGCCTTAGGTTAATGAGAGGAAAGGACACATCAATGTGGGTGGTCTCATATTTGTCATCTATTCCCTGTGGCTTATACTTACATTTTGAACACAACTAGGGATTATTTCTTAATGCAAAGAGAGTCTCATCATAAGATAAGTCTCACTATTTTTCCTCTTTCTTATGGTATGATGCTAGTTGTGAAACAGCATCATAATCAACATTTCTGTCTGCACTCCAGCAGGCAGGTGCAGAAAAATATTAAGTGGCTCTTTAAATATGTGTCATGGGGCTGACAGGTTAGCTCAGTTGTCTAAAGCAACTACTTGTGCAAAATCAGTCAGGGGCATTAAACTGTGGTTCAATCCCCAGCACCACATGCTGCACCAGGCCTGCCCTTAAGGCAGCCTGAGCCAGCCTCTCTCCCAAAAAAAAATCCTTAAATATGTGTGAAATATTCTCCAGTGCTTAAGAATACATTCCAAAGCAATAATAGATTTGACATTGATTTTCCCAACTGAAATACTAAATAAGGAATTGGCATCTCTTTCATTTCTACCTGCTTTCTACATCCTCAAGGAATCCTCCAAGATAACCACCTCCAGAGCAGGTGGCAGCCACCTGGAGGCAAAAGAGGCAGACTAGGCACATTTTCCTGGCTTGAAACCCTGTCTTTCCCAGGAACTCATACTCCTGACTCTAGCATGTGTTTCTAAAAGGGCAAGCTGCAAATGTTTTCAGCTGTAGGAATCTTGTAAAAAGAAGCACTGCTAGCAAAACTGATAATCAAGAGATTTAACCACTGTGTTTTAGTTCTTTAAAAGAGTGTGAGGCCCCATAATCTTCTTGATCAGAAAATTTGGGACACTACCAAGGTACATGACATTG